ACTGCTCAGTTTTTTAAATTGGTAAGCTAAATCTAAAAGTTTGTTATGTTTCTGTTCATACATTTTTTTGTTTTTTAGGTAAATGATTGGTTCGATTGCCTTAACGTTAGGGTACCCTATACAGATTCCCGAGAACGAGTACAAGGCTATGGGTTAAATCTAGACGTTCAAAATAAGATTATTGACGAGATGTCAGAAGCTATGAAAGCTTTAAAAGTTAAAGGAAAACGATCATTGTTGCCTTTTCAGAAAGGTATGTTATGTTGCTTTTGAAATATTCTAATTAAAACTATTCTTTGGAGCTAATAATTAATATAAATATTATCGTCTTTTTGGCAAAATTTAATTCCGTTGTTATTTTTAGGAATAATTCAAACCAACAATTCCTTAAAAAATTTATTTGAGGATATAAAAACTAAATTTAATATAAAATACATCCTTACATACAACTTAAATCAAGATGTACTCGAAAATTTTTTTGGCAATATTAGGAGGGTTGGTGGATTACATGACCATCCCGATGCTGTGGAATTTCGCTACCGGTTAAAAAACTATATTTTAGGGAGAAATGAAGGTTCTTTATCTGAAGCTGGCAATACAGAAGCTGATAAGGTCATTGATGGACCAATTGATAACTTGGGAGAAGTTTTGTTAAGTGAAACATATTTTTTAAATTTATCCTGCGAAGCAAAAAAAGAAGAAGTGGATGCAGACATGGAAGAACTAGACCAACTTCATTATGATGCACTGGAATATGTCAGTGGGTATATATGTAAGAAATTAGATCTGCCTGAAACTACGGATACTTCCACTTACACGTGGATTGATCAAGTATCCGAAGGCGGTCTAAGGAAACCTCCAGAAGAATTGGTGGCAAAAATTAATGAATTAAATATTATTTTTAATAATTTCAATGGATCTGAACATCAATTAAAATCAGGCAAAAATTATATAAAACAACTAATTGACTTATCGGAGAACATTCAATGTGATTATAAAATCAAACATCTTTTCTTCCGGTCTCGAATGTATTTTAGAATTAGGAAATTAAACCTAAAACTTAAAGAAAATATAAGAAATAAAAGAAAATTAATAAAAATTGTAACTTAAAACCTTGTGTTTAATTTTGTGTTTGTTTGTTAAAATTTATAAAGATTACCTTTCTAGGATTAAAAAGCAAAAAAACACAAAAAAAAACTCCCAAATTTATTTTACAGATTTTTTTTTTCACTGCATTATTATTTTTTTCAATCAAAATAATAAAACACCTATATTTTAATAAATCCGGAATAGTTCAATACAAACTCTATTAATCCATTAAAATGATTTTTTGTTGCCAATTAAAAATTAATTGTATTCTGATTGCTAACGTTCTTACGGGAAATATTTAAAATCTCTCTCATTGTGACGTCATGCGCGAACTCGTCTCAATTTCTCTCTCGGGAGTATCATACCTGATATTCTTTGTACCATGGGCTCTACTAGGAGCTACATACCTGGTACTTTGTTTATTTTTTCTTTTTCCTCCTGTAACCCTTATCTTTCTATTCATTTAGAAAGAGAAGAGTGATTTTCTTCACCAACACTTACACTTCCCTCTGCCCTATTCATTATCCTTTGAACAATAAAGTAATTACTAATTGTTTTTAAATACTTTGACAATAAAGACTCACATAACCTCAAATGTGTAAGACTTACTGGGTTACCTGAGTGGCAGTCGCAGAGCTACTATTGGTTGGTTGAAAATAAGCTGCTTAGCATGGACCAGTATAGTGGAAATAAGGTGTTTTGCAAGTAAAGGTGGTTTTTAACATACTTTTAACATTACTAATAATTTTTTTGCACGAATCAGATAAAATAAACCCTTTGACTACACAGAACAATGAATTGACACATCTAACTCAACTTTGATTTTTGTGTGGCTTAAGGCTGTTTGCATGTTACCTTCTCAATAATTGTACTTACTCTATACCGTCATTTTTCCCGATTAGTAATATAATTCTGTATTTTAAAACATAAAATATAGTAGGTTTTATATAGTAATGTGGCCCGTTCATCCAGTGTGTGTTTTCATATGTGCTGTTAAATTAAAACTGTGTGAATATAGTTTGTTTTGCATGTGATAGCTTATTTATCAGTACGCACCTTCAGATGTAGTTTTAAAAAATTCTTCATTGAAAATTGTTTAGTGCACATTTCAAAAGCAAACGGCCTTTCACCAGTATGCCCTTATGTGATTTTAAAGTAGAACTATGTGAAAGTTGTTTGTTGCATATCTTGCAGGTGAAAGCTTTTTTATCAGTATGAACTTTCATATGTAGCTTTAAAAGTTTCTTCGTTGAAAATCGTTTAGTGCACGTTTCACAAGCAAACGGCTTTTCACCAGTATGCGCTCTCATATGTGATTTTAAAGTAGAACTCTGTGAAAGTTGTTTGTTGCATATTTTGCACGTGAAAGGTTTTTCACCCGTATGCACTCTAATATGTGTTTTTAGTTGATCGTTTGTTGAAAAATTTTTAGTGCAAATATCACATTCATAAGGTTTTTCGCCAGTATGCATTCTCATATGTGATTTTAAAGTAGAACTACGTGAAAGCTGTTTGTTACATATTTCACACTCGAAAGATCCCTCTCCGGTGTGCATTGTCATATGGTGTTTTAAACTAGAGCTATCTGAAAACCGTTTGGTGCATATTTTGCACGCGAAAGGTTTTTCCCCAGTATGCACTCTCATATGCCTATTTAAATCTCGTTTCGTCGAAAACTGTTTTAAGCAAATTTCACATGTAAGGGAGTTTTGTCCAGTGTGTATTTTCTTGTGTACTTTTAAAGAAAAACTTGTTGCTAATTGTTTGAAGCATATTTCACATTCAAAATGTTTTTCTCCGATGTTCACATCCTTGGTAGCAGTTAAATTTGGGTTCAAATTATTTCCAGTATATTTTAATACGCTACTTGCATCATTTTGGATGTCTTCACAAGAGACACCTAAAATAATAACTATCTGTAAAATTACTATAATGTAACAAAAATAAAATGAATAAAGCATGATTGGACAAGTCAAAGTTAAGCTGGATGGACGAAAGGCTTTTGTTAATACCATTCAAAGTGTTCATAAACGAAAAGAATTTTTAATTGTGTGCTTACTTAAAACAGTCCCATATTTACTAAACTGTTGAAAATTACCGCCCAATAGCGTGCACATACAAACTGTAAATTAGGAAAATGCATGTAGTGGTTGATTACATCGATTCAAAAAATATCACGGTTTTCGTGAGCTTACCAATCAACGCGAAAATCTCTGAGCCGACGGAGAAGCAATGGTTAAATTTTGCTTTAAACGTAGACCATACAGAAAATAATATACAACTTTGTCAAATTTATAACACAGGAGAAACAACGTTATACTGGCGAGCAATAGCTACAAAAACCTTAACTGCAAGTAAAGATGAGTACACCGGATGACCGGATATAAAAAAATTAAGACCGGTTAAGAGTGTTGTGTTGTGCCAATGCACCTGGCAGTAAGTAAAAAAATCCTCGCGCTTTTAAAAACATAAAACCGAAAAACCTTCCAATGAGCGTTCCACGTTAAGAAAATAACATTGCGCTTATGAAGATCAGTGTTGCCAAAACTCTCACTCACATGTTCTTTTAGATTGTCGATATATGATTCCATTATGATTCATTCTAATCATAGCCGTATTCAGCACTGTGTAGTTGTAGTTAATTAATTTTCTTAATAAAAGGAAATGTAAAGTTGAATACAAAATAATGCATTACAATACTTGTTTCTTTAATTAACAGATATAGGTATGTAATTATTATAGGTCTAAAAAAAATAGATATCTGTTAATTAAAGAAACAAGTATTTGTAATATTATTTATATATTTGAAATATTATTTATTAACCCTTTAGATAAGATGTAACTTTCCAAAAACTTTTCCAAAAACTGTCTCTTTGATGGCAGCTAGCAAGTGAGCTTTAGACATGACATGTCGTTTCACTTCCTTATGAAAATTGTTTAAATCGCCAAAACCACTATGATTCCAAACATCATTTTCATTCACAAAGAGCAAACAACACCAGCAAAAGAGTTTATTCCTAAATTCACAACCAGTTAGCCACTCGTATTGTTCGTAAGATTTTTGCGAATTAAATTGTCGGACGTAAGTTTTTGGTAATGAGATTTTTCATTTCAGGCTTCGACCTACCTAATTAAAAAAACAGTAATGCGTCAGTTTCTTTTATCAATTATTTTATTATTTTTATTAATAATAATAGTAATTTTTATTATTATTTTAGATCGATTATTTTAATATTAAAAATAAAACAAAATAAAAGATAAGAACAGTTGATTTAAAAATATTAAAACTATTGATCGAAGAAAGCTGTAATATTATCGTCTCCCTATTCGTGCCATGTAAATATAATATAGTACTTTTATTAATTATGTTCAATTGTACACCAAAATTCAACGAACTAAAGCATTTATCTAATAACAAACATACTAGACATTTACACACTACAACTGATTCCACAAAATCAGTTGACGAAGACGCCATTGTCAAACTCCAAATTTAAATTCGCCAAAACTTCGTAATCAATTGCCACAGTTGCTTATAAAGCGACAAATACGGTCAACTTAACCTTCGCTTCTCAGTGCATAACCCGCGTTATTTTTAGATAAGACAGGAGGAGGAAAGCTAAATATATGCGCAGGGTCGGAACGAGCTCGCTGCTCGTTCTACATAATTCTCATATGCAGCTTAAAAGGTTGCCTTTTGTGTGTTGGTTTAGATTATTTTTTGTTAAATATTCTAAGTTACTCAGCTAGTACGCTATTACTACGAAAACCTAGAGAAGCAATGCTTCACTTGCTTCCATACACCACACGCCCCTGTATATAGCCCGTATATACACCACGGTAAGTAGTTTTTATTATTTGGGAAGATCAAATAGCACCAAATTGAAATTATATGTTTTTTATTTACTTACCATTTTGTTCTATTTCCGTTTTTATAGGATATTCCTTTAAGTCTACAGAATCCAATGCATCACATGCACTTTCTTTCTTAGGTTCCTCCTTAATCTCAATCTTAAAGGTATCCAGTACTGCATCATCCACCGCATCATCATCTATTTCTGTTTTGCATACCTCACTAAATTCTTGTTTTACTTCCATTTGATTAGACATGATTTTATCTGTTTCAGAAATATGTTTACCTTATTATACAAATCAATATATTTTCAATTTAGAACCATATTAATATTTCCCGAACCTCAGAATCTTGTATTCTTTTTTGGGCCCTTATACCCATTCTTTTAATATCCTGCTTGGGCCCAAGTTTTGCATTCAACAGAAATGCTATCAATGGATATAGTAGAAACACCAAAACCTGAAAGAAAGAGGTTTTTTGTTTACAACTTAATATTATTATATAATTTTAGTATAAAGCATAAAGCAAAAAATACGGGATTGAAATATTTAGACATTTTTCCAAAATCTTAACCTTAATTCGGTATTAAATATAACAGTTTCATTGTACCGTCACTCGAGGTGAATCCGGACGATTTTCGCGGTTTTTTGTAACGGTAAAAATAATTTAAACACTTTAATATCTTCAGCATAAGGGATTCTGATAAGTTTTAAAATTTTACTGCCACACTTTAATTTTTTGGGTTATGTAGTGTCCGAATTCGCCCCTACGTGAGGATACAAGAAAGTGACAGAAAAAGATAAAAAACTTTCGACAGAAAAAGAATAAAATGAAAAAAAAATATTTCGATAAAGCCGCATGAATATAAACTAAAACGGGACTCCTTAATTCCAAACACATTCTATAAAATAAGACTAACAAAAAAACTTAAAATTCCACATTTAAACTAAAAACTGGAAAAAATTTATTCGATTCAAATATTTTCCATTCGTAATAGAATGGGAAATTAGTATTCCCAACATAATATTTATCTACATTCTTTGGTGAAACTAATTTAACAAGTACAAAAGTATTAATGTCTACAGAATAATCGGCCTAGAAACCCATTTCAATTGGTCCACTTTCAACCTCAGCCTCTTCTTCAGTCTGCAGCTCTGTTCCACTTTGGTCATCCTCACTACTTGTTCTATATTCTTCAGTTTCCTTTTCTTCTCCAATTAATGGTTGTTCTAAATCTCTTACGCTTACCCCTTTACCTGCAGGCACCTGTAACCTTTTGCCCCGTGTTTTTAAATGTTCTTGGGTTGCGCCCTGTCTACTTTCATGAAGACAGTTTTGAAGAGTGTTGGTCCAGTGGTTTTGGTTTTTAGTTTCTGAAGGTTCACTAGCTGGTAACTTTTTGATGACGTCGTCTGACGTTGAAATATTAGTTGTTGGTTAATTTCTATGTTAACATTTCGGTTAGTTTTCGCTATTAGCATCACCTTGGTTTTCTTAACATTAATCTTCATGTTTCTAATTGCCAGCTCATTATTCCAGCTATATTTATTTTTCTGGAGGTCCTTTTCGTTGGAAGCGCATAACATGAGATTATCTGCGAATGCACACTCAGTTATACCAACCGGTCGTAGTTTACTATATCCGATATGTACTTTGTGTATACTTGCTTTTGTTTCCTTAATTATTTCGTCAATAATCAATATGAACAGTGTGGGGCTCATAACACCTTCTTGTCTTGGACCCTCGTTTATTGCAAACATCTCTGATTCCAAGTTATCCTTACGTACATAACCCTTGTTATTTTGATACAGACTTTTGATAGCACCTGTTAGTTGATGGTCAATATTTCTAATAATTTTCTATAAATTTCTTTGTTACAGTTTTCTTTATTGTCCAATTCATTTATATCGTTAAAATTTATTCTCGCATTGTTTGTTATTTCAGGTTGATCAGTTCTATTTGGCTGATGGACTGCTATTTCTTCCTGGAGTTGTTGAGAGCCTTGATCTCCCTGTTCCACGTCCATACTTCTCCATTTATAATAAGTTCTTGAAACCCCATTTGGACTGTACTCCGTTTACTCTTTTCTTCCTTAGCTTTAGCTCTAATTTCTTTTTGAATAATTCTTTGCGGTTCGCTGATATCATCGTTTATATATACTTTGTGTTCTCCAATATTTCTTAGTTTGGCTTTATTGTTCATAAGTGTGTATTTCTGGTTACTATCTTTTAGTTCTAATAAACAGGTCTTTTCTCCTATTTTAATTGTTCTTTCTATTTCAATCTCAATGTTCAAGTGCGTACTTTTAAATCTTTACATATTGCTCTTCACTGTTTCCACGTTATTTGTTTCTATTGCTAGTACCTAAATTACTACATTATTTCTTCTTTTCTCGTTCTCAAGTCTTTCAATTCTGTCACTGTTTTTGTTCTTGTTTCAACAAGAATATACTGTATGTAGCTGATCAACCACACAGACTTTTTAATGCTGATGAAACAGCATTTTTCTTTCAGCCAAAGGGAGATAAAGTTTTAGCAAAAAGGGTGAAAAAAAAACGTTCACAGTGCAGGAGGAGGTGAGAACGAAAATCTAACTGTACTGATAACCGCTAACGCTGTTGGTAAGTTTGCTCCGCCAATGGTTTTATTTAATTACATAAGAATTCCGAGTTATATATCATCTAGTGTTATCCATATCCAATACTTTTGTACCTTGGCTTAATGAAGAGAAAATTGAACGACCCGTTTTGTTCTTTGTCGATGGCTCATGTATATATGACATTGCATCTATCAACTTTTTGTACCAAAAATGGAATAGATTTGATCGCCCTGTATCCAAATTCTACGCATTTACTACAACCAATGGATGTACGTGAATTCAAACCGCTGAAGAGAGCCTGGAAAAATGAAGTGCAAAAATGGAGGCTTGATAATTCTGAAAGTAAGTCACAAAAACAAAATGTTGCACCATTATTGAAGGACGCATTAAATATACTTCTCAGCAAACCATCACAGATACCAAATTAGGAAGGATGCACATGAAGAAATAAATTAAAGAGCGGACAAAGGACAAATAAAAATATTTGTAATATAGCTCAAAATCTAGTGTCTGACAACGATGAATCCTCAGAATCTATTAGACCTATAAACATATTCAGTCAAGCAGCTGAAATAACAGAAAAAGTTTGTGACTCTCTCAAACCAGGAATTCAAGGAATCCTAATTACCAGTTTTATAGTCCCAAAGGAATAATAACTACTGAAATTAATGCTGCAGAAACTGTTTTAAACAGTATCTTTCCTTTAGATGTGTAATCGCCTTTTAAAAGAGCATTATTCTGGCCATATCCTACTCCCAGAGGAACCAAAAAAGACAAAGTAAGGAGAAAATACCATCAGTTGTTACTTCAGAAGTCTGGCAAAACTACCAGTGGCGGCTTTTCTTTATGTGCTGCTGAGCTGCAGAACTACCAAACAACCATAGCAAATCTTAATTATTAAAGAATAATTAATATAGTTTTATTTCAAATCTGCCATATTATCATATTAAACATAAACTGTTAATAATAATTCACCAACAACGATGATTAATATTATTTTTTTTACGTATTTACTCCTCTAGTGAAACCGTATAATTTTTTTACGTATTTGGTGCTCCAGTGAAGCAATCTTTTTACGTATTTGCTGCTCCAGTGAAGCCGCGTCGATAACAACCGAAACACTGGCAGCGGTAAAATGCATTTATTAGGCAAACGGCGATCTTAGCCGATGTGCTTCGGCAATCGGCTGATTAACGGCCTCGGAAATGTGTTTGCGAGCTGCAATTCACGACAGTTATTCGTGACCGTTGCATCTGTGCCGTGTTTAGAAATTCTTAGGTTACAATTTTGTTTAATTTGTTTTGTTCGAGCGTGTTTAAAACAATGGAGTTTCAATTTAAATTAGGTGTAAATAAATTTCAAAAACTTCACTATCAACAACAGTTGATTATAAAAGAACGTGGCCGTCCTATGCCTGATCTTAATATTGAAGTGTCCGGTAAAAGCCGTGGAAAAACATATACGCGTAAATTTAATAAAGACATGTATCTACGAAATCAGTGGATTTGTGGATGTTCCGAAAAAAATGCTTTTTTCTGTTTTCCGTGTGCATTATTCGGCGCAGATAAAGAGGAAAAATTGTGGCGCGAGACAGGAGTGCGGGATCTAGTGCATTTAAGTGAAAAAATAAAGAAGCATGAAAACACGCAAACTCATATGAACAATGAAATGCGATTTGCATTATTTGGGAAACTTAATATACAGGCCCAACTTGACTCTGCTTATTGGATAAATATACAAAAACACAATGAAGAGGTGACGAAAAACAGGTATGTTTTGTCAAAAATAATTGACTGTATAAAATTCTGTGGGGCTTTTGAGCTCGCCTTACGAGGACACGATGAATCTGAAACATCAGATAACCCTGGAATTTTTCGTGGTTTAGTGAATTTTTCTGCTGAACTTGATAAAACACTTAGTGAACACCTTACAAATGCGACAATTTTCAAAGGTACCTCAAAAACAATACAAAATGATATTTTGGATTGCATGCTAGAAGTATACGCTGAGGAGATTTTAAACGAAATCAATGAAGCCCCATTTTTAGCAGTGATAGCTGATGAGACAACGGATGTTTCTATGAAATTTCAAATGGTCATTGTTTTTCGTTATGTAAAAAACGGTGCTCCAGTTGAAAGGTTTTGGACTTTTTTGCTTCCAGAAAAACATGATGCTGAAACCTTAGCTAACACAATTTTGAATGTTTTAGACCCAATATTAAAGAATAACAAAAATAAGCTCATTGCACAAAGTTATGACGGAGCAGCTGTTATGAGTGGGATACATGGCGGAGTGCAAACAATAATTAAGAGAAAATATGAAACTGCTCATTTTGTGCACTGTTACGCCCATCAATTGAATCTAATAATGTCAAGAGCATGTTCTATTAATTCCCAAGTACGCGTATTTTTTGGAGATTTACATGATATACCTGGATTTTTTAGTCATTCACCTCAAAGAATAGCTGTCTTAAATCAAATAGTTGGAAAAAATATTCCTCGTTCAATCCCTACACGCTGGAATTTCAATATTCGTACAGTAAATGTCGTTTACGAATATAGAGACTTTATTATTGAGTGTATGGAGCAACTAGAAGAAGAGTCAAATGCTATTACTTCCAAGGAAGCAAGAGGACTTAGACGTATTCTGGAAGATCAAAATTTTACTTTCTGGCTGACTGTTTTTCATTATATTATGCCACATGTTGACGTTTTGTACAATAATCTTCAAAAAAAGAACATGGACCCAACCGAAGCACAGAAAGCTATACATGTTTTTGAGCAAAGTATTAACAATGTCCGAAATAAAATAGACCCTATCATACATCAAGCTTCAAATTTAAATGCGGCGCCTAGTGTCCAA